AATAGAAAAGCTAAATTCTTGAGTCCCCCATCCCATTTTGTCCAATACTGCTCTAGTGAATAAGTTCACTAGACAGAAGAGGGTACAGCTAGCGCTAAAGTGACTCCACCTCAGAATCTAGGGTTCACACCCTATATGTTGCTGTGAACAAAGGAATCAGTAAACTGCCCCTCTCCCCCACCACCTAGCACCTCCCAATTATTCTTGACAAGGAATGGTTTTCATTCCAACCCAAAACTCACCGTCTTCAAACAGCTCAATCAATTTAGCAACATATGGATTTTCATCATCATCCCCTGCAACCAACACAAACTGTCCAACTTGAATGTGAATCTCAGCCGAACAACCTTTTGATGTCACACTCATTTCTCTAGGAAGCAATGGGGAAACATGTTAGGAAATCACTTAGGGTGAGCCAAGCTCTTCACACTCTCTAGGCACAAAGGAAAGTGCTCTCCAACTGGAAAATCTCCTAGTTTCTCTCTGCTGACCAGTTCTCCTACTGGGAAATCAATTCATCCAGTTCTTTGCAAGAGTAGACAAAATGGGTTGAATGAACTGTTTGAGCATGAATGATTAAGCAAGAAGCCTTCATATGAACCCTACTTCTCTGTTATTAACAAAGAACAAGCAAGGCTTCCAAAGGCATAAAAGCTGCCCAATAACAATGCAAATTAATCAGGGATCTCTAGAGCTGGGAGGACATAGTAACAACATCTAATCCTAGCCTATTACCATGCAGAATTACATAGAGTCCACCTTAAATAGACATGACATTATCATACATATCAAATTTTATTAACCTGACAATGTCTTCCTTTATCACTAACTGCTATATTTATACTACCATTTTCTTGCATCAAACAAAACCTCTTCTTACAATTAATTCATATTTACTGTCCTTTAGTCCTTAATCTGTAGTAACTAGAACAGGCTAGATACAAATTATTAACAGTTTAGCCTGGAGAAATTATATTTCTAAGACAACCAAATCACTCACTTGTAGATTTGGTAGTGTAGTTTTCGATCCAACAATGGGCTGCCAACCCACGAATAAGTCTGTCTGGTCTTCAGCCTTGTAGAATAGCATGCCATGGCTCCTGTGTAAAAGTCACTAACTGAGTTAACATGACAACACTTTGATGGATTATAGGACACAATCCCTGCCTTCAATGAGTTCAACCTTCTTTTCTGCCCCAGCTATGCTCCTACACATTTTAGATTTAGAAAACTTTTTTTTGAGGAAAAAGTCAAGCTCTATGAAGATCAAGCATAAGCAATTCAGTATTATCTGTGTATGTCTTGTACTATGACTATCTCTTTCTATCCAGAAAATAGAAGGGTCAATATGTAAGAAATGAAACTATAAATGTTTAAAAGTACTTACTAGGTACAAGGTACAGTGATAGGTAAGAAACATCTAACAACTTGAAACTAAAACACAGTGATACAGTGGTTGGTTATAAGTGTCTTTCTAACACTTAAAATCTAGAAAGGGATAAACTATAAATGTACTAAAGGACAAAATAGTGTGAAAAGCCAAGAGAAAGAGCCACAGAGACCACTGCAAGTTAGAGGACCAGGTCTTGTGGCTATTCAGGAAGGAAGGAAGGGATTCCTACATGGGTTTCCTGAACCAAATATTGAATAATGAGCAGATATTGATAAAAGGGAATGAAATGAGGGATTCCAAGAGATGGAGGGAAAAACATGCAAGAGGCATTTGGGGGAATAGCAACGGGTTTTATTAAGTATATTATTTCACTTAAAGAAAAAAAAGTCTCACTAACCTGTATTGCTCTAACAGTTGTAAACGGTATTTTTCTTTGTGGCTAACAGGTCCTAGATGTAAGTATTTTGAATAGCTGTAAAGAAATGCTTGTATTACAGCACTTGGAAAAAAAGTTTTTGACAAAAACAAAAATGTGAACAAAAAATCCAAACATATGCCAACCCTCTTTAAAATTTGGAAACTGCAACATAGTAGTGGTAATAATAATACCAATCCATTATCTTCAGTTTAAATAATTAAGAAAATAAGCCTTGTATAAATGTCTAACCACTATGCTGTACACCTGAAACTAATATAAAGTCATATTGAATGTCAACTATAATTGGCAAATAACAATAACTAAATAAATAAGAAGCTTTTCCTCTAAATTCAATGCTTTTGTTATGGAGCTAAAATTTGACAAAACCGAGGTAAAAAAAAGTTTAATCCAGCCTGACAAAATTACTCCGAATTACTGACAGCGTGACCAATAATCGCAGTGCATGTTGAAAACAAAATTAGAATAGCATTATTACCATCCTGATTAAACAAGCTGGTTTCCTAAAGTTCAGTAGCATTATGTCCTACATTCTACTTGGGAACATTTTGACCCACAAGATTTTCAGTTTTTAAAAAAGATATTTTTTAGTATATTTTATGGAAACTAATTAGCAAAAAGGAGGGAAGATATTAAGTCATTAGTAAATACACAGCTTACAATATACCCAACAGAGATATATACCTATCATCAAAAGGCATGAGCCAGAATGTTCACAGCAGCATTTTAAATGAAATTAAGCCAAGCACAAAGTGGGGAAAATTACAAAATAACAAAGAACTAAAGAAACCAGACACCAAAAGAATACATACTATATTCATTCCACTTATATAGCATTCAAAAACAGGTAACAGTAACCTATGGTGTTAGAAATCTGAATAGAAGGTAACCTAGGTAACTGAAAGGGAGCATGAAAGGGTGTTTCTGGGATGCTGGTCATGTTTCTTGATCTAGATGCTGGTTACATGGGCATGTTCTCTGAGAAAACTTATTGACATGCTATTGCTAAAACTGGCAAATTAGCTGAAAGAGATTATAAAATAAAAAAATATTCGAACAATAAAAAACTCATTGAGCTGCATTTATGATTTCTGCACTCTTCGTGGTACGTTATTTTTCAATGAAAAGTTCAAAAATTAAGCAGGAGTCCTTCTGAAGAGGTAGCATAAGGAAATCATAGGTATCAGGCTTCTGTACCATTACCCCGCTTTCTTACCCTTGACCCAGCACTTCATCTCAACCACCGTAAACAGATTCCCCAGGAGGGGCGATAAATGGGGTAAAATGGGAGGCCTGACTTGGCCTAGCAAAGGCTTTGGCTTCTAGAAGATACCCACCACAGGCTCTCAATGCTGCAGATAGCAGAAAGCTGGAACATACAGACCACCCAGTCTGGGGTTCCCACCCAAGGAAAACAGATAAGGGAGCTGCAGTAAAAATGATAGCAGATATTTATTGAGCCAATATGACAGTAAGTAGAGCAAAACTCTTGATATATTTATTTCATTTAATCCTCACAATAATCCTAGAACAATGTTAGTACATAGTACCAAGTGCACAGAAGGCTCTCAATAAATATTTGCTGGGTGAAAGATAGATGCTATTATCACTTCAAAATGGTAACTTGTTCCAGTGCTATACAGGATGGCACAGCCTTAGTTCGAACCCTGAGCAGCCGATTCCAATGACTGCTCTTAACCATTTCACCATATGTGCAAGTGGATAATATTAAATGTATGCCTGAAAAAGCTTACTTCTGGTGGGCTTATTACAATCAAGTCAGGCTTCCCAGACACTGAGAAGTCAAATGGGCCTTGGTTTCTTTATCCATATAATTGGATAATAACTGAACCTTCCTTTTATTCAACCAATATGTATTAATCGCCCACTGTGTGCCAGGCACTGTTCTAGGATTACTGAAGATTAAGTAAGAGTATGCAAATTGGTAAATCCACTCCTTCACTTCCTTAAGCCCTTGCTCTATTTGTAAGGGACAGTGTTTCTTGTTATTTTCGTTTGTTTTTTTTACTAATTTGACATTATGAAACTCATACAATTCACACAAAAGTTTGCATCAATTTCAGAGATTCATAAACCTTCTAAAGTCCACATGTTGTCCTCTGTTATGGTTAAGAACTGTTACAGAAGAACTTGGCACACCATGTTCTCAGAAACCTCCAATGGCATTCACAAGCACCCATTACAGCAGGGATGAGGGAACCGTTTTTATAGACAACTGAAATCGAAAACTGACATTGAATTATTGCAGCTCCACAGATAGCAAACCAGGATAAGAATCTCTTCAACTCATGCTCCTAAGTCCAGTGTCTTTTCCAACTGTCAAGACAGAAGTCCCTTCTATTCTAGGGTTAGACTGCGGGAAGTAGAAGTAGTTAAGAGCCGCTCTCGGGGGTGGGGGTGGGGAGCGAACTAGACAAGTCTTTCTGGGCGCAACTGCTACATCCATAAAATGGGGTAATAACTTCTGCTCTTACTTCCCGGTGGTGCTTGCTACACTATGGCTCAAAGGAAGAAAAGATGCGCTGCTTCACAAGGGCAACGGAGACCAAAGGGATGGCTGGGGTCATTACTGAGTCTCAAGGCCCTGAGGGCAGGAATGCTCACGTTTCTCCGCCGTTGGCTTCCGGCTCCCCCACTGCAAACTCGGAGACCCCGGCAGGGCGGAAAGTGTTTCAGCAATCGGGATATAGGAAAGGAACGCTCCGAAAGGGCTTAGAACGAGGCCTGACACTTAACAGTCGCTTAGGAAAATGGTATCTGCTGAATTAATCAATGACTGAGTGAGTCCACAAAGAACAACTTCCTCCGTCCCCGCGACTCAGGTACCCCTCCAGCCGGCGCAACGCCACACGCGCCGCGGGCCGAAGCTGCCTGAAGCTAGGAGCAAGCCCTCCACTTCCCACCGTCTCTGCTTCAGGAGCTCGCGGAGCTGCAGTAACGCTCACCTGCACCAGCTGGACTCCTCTAGCAGCCAAGCGGCCGCGCGACCGAGCGGAAACAAGATCCTCGCTAGGAATGGGAAGAAGGTAGAGAAAATTTCGCGCCAAACGTCGTAGCTCCGCCCCGAGGCTGTCTCCGCTTTGCGTCACCAGCCCGCCCTCCCTCCGGTCCCGCCTACTTGAGAGGACGCGGGACGGACGTACGCCAGCGTGCAGCGGCCATCATTGATTCTGTCAGCGACGCCGTTTGCGGAAGGAAGTGTCTTACGCTGCAGCATTTCCAATTTCAAGATGGTAGCCTGAGCAAAACGAGACCTCCCCTACCTACCTCCGTTCCTCACTGTTTTGTGTGGAGTTTTTTAACCTGATATGACGCACTAAAGGACCCGACGGAAATAGAACTGAAGGCGTTCTAAAATGGCGAACCGCACAGTGAAGGATGCGCACAGCATCCATGGCACCAACCCTCAATATCTGGTGGAGAAGATCATTCGGACTCGAATCTACGAATCCAAGTACTGGAAAGAGGAGTGCTTTGGCCTAACGGGTGAGTGGGAGCGCGCCGACCCCACCATCGGCAGCTTTGTGGCCCAGTTCTCCTGACTGGGCGCCGGTAGGACTGGACCCTGGGGGGGAGATTGGAAGGGAGTCTGTCATTCAGAAAAATCTGAGCTCCTACTTTGTGCCTAAATTTGTGGTAGGCTTTGGGCTCACAGGTGATAGGGTCTTATTCCGAAGGGTGTCTCAGTTGGGTTCTTTGAGTCGTTCCATCTTTGATGATAACTTGCTGGGTTACAAGCCGTGTTAAGCTCGGGGACCCAAACCCGGGATGAACCCGCAACATTGGTGTATGATGCTCCAACCAACTGAGATACCTGGCGGGAAAGTTTTAAAGGAAAGTCAGCATGCCCAGGACCAAATTCACGATCTTACTAGCCCCAGATCCGAACCATTTGCAGTATTTCCACGTTCGGGTCCTAATATAAATATTTCTTCAGAGAAGTCTACCAGGTAGTCTTTTAATCTTTATTCGAATTCTAGCTCCCCTTTTTAGTAGCTCTGTTACTTAAGTGTACCATGGCTTCCTCTACTGTGAAACGAGTACAATAAAACCCACCTCAAAGGGTTGTTCTAATCATTAAATGCAATAACGTATAAAAAGTGTTTGGTATAGTTACAGGGTATATATTAATGAAAATATTCAGTAATCAATGGTAGTGGTGGTTCTACTTTTTACCACTGTTAAATACTGTGTTGTTACACTGCCACCACCACCACTAGCAGTGTGTCCATGAACCAATCCTATTGTTGCTGAGTCGCCATTAAACTTTAGTCATGTTAGGTTTACTTTTGGGCCCTTTTCTCATCCCATAGTTCTGTCCTTGGGTGATCTCCATGACATAGTTACATCCTATATATGTAGATGCCTTCACATTTATCTCTAGTTCCAAGACATGCCAACTCAGTAGTCCAAAAGTTAACTCAGGATCTTTTGTTCCTCCAACACTAGGTTATGTTCCCTTGTATATTTTCATTGTATTCTGTGTCTTCATTTAACTAATCATTACACTTTCGGTTATTTTTTTCAATGCTTTCTGCTTTGCCAGGCTGTACACTTTCTAATAATAGTAATTGTGTCCCTCTTTTTTATCTCTTTATCTATATCTCTAGTACTTGGAACTCAGCTACAAGTTGCCAACTGTAATGTTGAGTGAATACAGAATTTATCCTAAAGGAACTTGAAGTTGATATATAAAATGATTTCCCATTAATGGTAGCTAACGTTTATTATTTGCTATGGGCCTTAAACTTTGTATCTTTATTATTTAAATTTCAAATGACAGGCTCAAAGAGAGGTGAAGTGACTTGCCCTGGTTCCTACAGCTAGTGTTTGATTTTGACAACATTGGAAGTTTAACCCCATTTTGTAGATGAGGTTTACTCAATTACATAGCTGTTGAGTTGTTACTGTGTTTTGTTTCTTTTGTGAATGAAAAGGGCTCTGTAATAAATCTGACATGGTCAGTAACAGGAAGTACAGTAAACCCTCAATTTCTCAGACCTCGATTTAACAGAGAAACAAAATTTCCAGTCCATATGTCATATGTGAAAATCAACACCGTTAATTTTAAAATGCTTTTAACCAAGATTTGCTTATAATTAACAGGTTATTTTTTGTTTTTAATTAAGTGGTATTTAACACATTTTATCGAATAGGCCATATGCTGGAAAATACACTAAGAATTTCACTGACAAATATTACATATCTACAACTATAGTCTACATATTTAAATCCAAGGGTCACCACTTGTAAACAATGTTCAGCGAATGATTAGCACATGATTACACTGAATCTCATGAAGAAATTAGTTCTGTTGTCCGTGGCATGACTTTCTGCAGCAATTTTAATGTGTGCAGACTGATCCAAGTGCTAAGCCACGCCCCATCGGTGTGCATTTTTTTTACTAGACCTATTCTAGTAGGTGACTGGTGACTAGACCTATTCAGGATAAATTTAAAATTATAGTAATACATAGAAAACTTATTTTTCATACATAATTTTAATTATACAAACATCTACATAAAAACAGAGAAACTAATTTGTCAATTTTGTAACATGCATTCGGAAGACCTATTTTATTTTGTAACAGACTTTCAGCTTTAACAGACACCCCCTTGCCTGAACTAGTCCGTTATATGGAGGGTGATCTCATCATCAAGTCCAAACTAAGGTAGTCATGCCGCAGGTCTGTAACTTCTTTAAAGTAAAAGGTTGAACTTTTCCTAAGCAAGCCGTGCCCATTGTTCTTGTGCAACTAAGTTAACACCTTTGAAATGTCAGAGTAATCCTCTTTTCCCCAGAGCATATAATCTAGTTAACTATCCTGTAATATAATCATAGAGACTTCCCCACTTTACTTTCTCCTAAGATCATGTAATCTTAGTTCCCTTCTTAATTCTAAATGTATAAAAAGAAATATAAAACTGTCATTCTCTGGAGCATTTGAGATCTTGCTTCCTGGCATATTATCAGTTTCGCTCAAATAAACTCTCATAAAAATTCTCTTCAGGTTCGGACATTCTTATATCTCACTTTTAACTCCAAATATGGCTATTTTTCCCCTAATGTGATGGTGACAGGCATGGACTCTGAAGTTAGACCGCTTAGATTTAAGTACAGGCCTTGCCACTTTCTGGCTGTGGACCTTGAGCAAGTCACTTAGCCTTTCATTAGCTGAAAACAGGGACAGTGCTAGGACTTAACTTCGTGGTTTATTGTGAAGATTAAATGAAATGATATGAAATGCTTAGCCAATACCTGGTATACAGTAATTCATTAGTGTATGCTAGCTGCTATCACCACCACCTATTACTGTTAAATGCATACTTGTTCTCCTAATATTAAACTGTTGAGTATTCAGGAGCACCAAAACTTGAACTAACTTCTCTCCACTTCAAACCAGGAAAAAGCTTAGCCCTAATATGTCTGAGATGGCACTGTTTTTGTTTTTGTTTTTAGCTGAACTTGTAGTCGATAAAGCCATGGAGTTAAGGTTTGTGGGTGGCGTCTATGGTGGCAACATAAAGCCAACTCCCTTTCTGTGTTTGACCTTGAAGATGCTTCAGATTCAACCAGAGAAGGATATCATTGTTGAGTTTATAAAAAATGAAGACTTCAAGTGAGTGAAATGTTGACTAATATAAAATCTTCAATTTTAGGAGTCCAGAATTTGGCTTTGGTTAAGAAGAGTGATAATGTATCTCATTCCACAGAGTTGCACTCTAGGATTTTGATTTTAAACTCTAGAATTTGTATTTGATCTGTATTGCTTGTGTTGATTTTCTTTACTTCTCCAGCTTTGGTAACTTTTCCCCAAAAAAAAGTATTTCACAAAGTCACTGATGCTCAGGGGTGAAGAAAACATACTGTAGAAGATAAGAGGGAAAACTTTGGTGTTAGATACAGGTTCATGTCCGGACTCTGTTACTTACTAACAGAGACCTTAGAGAAGTTACTTAATTTTTCTAAGCTTTACTTTCTTTACCTGTAAAATGGAGCAATATCAACTCAAGATTGATGTCAGGGTTAGAGAAGATAGTGCTATAAATCTCACAGCACAGTGTATGTTGCATAGTAACATCCCAAAATGTGAGCTGCTCTTATTTTATTATCCATTCTCAAGGAGCTCACAGACAAGAGATGTACATAATAATAGTTTATGTGCCACCCTCTATCCTATGGGATTTACATATATTAATTTAGCCTTCACAACAACCCTATGAAATTATACCCATTGTAATAGGGGAAGAAATTTATGCAATAAGAAGTTAAATAATTTCCCCAAGGTCAGACAGGTAAAAAGTGGCAAAGCTGCTTGAGATATCATGTTCTTTGCTACTTGTATTATCTAAGTGGAGATTTCAATGGGTAGTAAAGGAAGGTATCTTACAAAACATTAACAGCTAGAAAACAGCTAACTTTTATTAGGCACTTATTATGTGCGTATGCTATGCTTAACATTTTACACACATTTCTTACTTAATACACCACACCACCTAATTAGGTGCTGTTCTCTGCATTTTACAAGAATTGAGAAAGCAAATAACTTGTCCAGTGTTACAAAGTTAGTAAGTAATGGAATCAGAATTTGAACCCAGGTGACTTTTACTTTTTTCCAGAACCAGCATTCTGCTGCCTAGTAACAATCTATATATTCATGTCTGTGTGTATTAGTTCTTGTTAGTAAATATATCTTATACTTTCCACTAAATTCAGTGTCTCGTTTTATTTTTACAGTAATCCTGTGAGGTAAATAGGTTCTATCTTAGTTTTGCAGATGATATAATAGACTCTGAAAATTGAACAACACATTCCAAATGTCCATAACCAATAAGCAGTAGAATGGGAATTTGAACCCAGGTCTCTATATTTTAGCTCTTCCTACTGCCCCTCTAAAATTGCAGCTTTCTCATTTGCCATAGAGAAGAAAAATAAGTTGTTTATCTAATACTGTCATAAGAAAAGCTGGTTGTAAAAACTCAGGAACTTTTTAGGATGAACTTTTAGAATCTTTTAGAACTTTTTAGGAACTGTTGTTTCACTGTCAAATTTATCTGTCAGGTATGTCCGCATGTTGGGAGCACTTTACATGAGACTGACAGGCACTGCAATTGATTGCTACAAGTACTTGGAGCCTCTGTACAACGACTATAGAAAAATTAAGAGTCAGAACCGAAATGGGGGTGAGTATGGTGCCATGTGACTGAAATTTCATCCCTGAGCCAGTTTTTATTTCACCAATATCTCTGCCCTCAGATCGTCACATACATTGTGAGTGCTTCCCTTTATCTCCCTCATGGGGAGTACTTCATTAGGCTATTAGTCTCCTGTTGGCCTTAACCAGCCTTCCCTGTCTGCCCACCTTTCCAAATGCATCTTTTTTTTTTTTTTTTTTAATATGGAATACTTTACCAGTTTGCATGCCATCCTTGGGCAGGGGCCATGCTATCTTCTCTGTGTCATTCCAATTTTAATACATGTGCTGCTGAAGCGAGCACCCAACTGCATCTTACATTAATCCCAGCCTTGCATCATGTGCTCCATTCCATAAGATTTAATTCTAGAATGACCTCCATAAAAGCCTTCCCAAACTCCCAGAGTTAGTTTTCCGTGTTATATCTTCACAGTTCTTTCTGCTGGCCTCTCTGGCACTATACTTCACACTGCAGTATATAGACTAAGTGTACTTACACTTATGTAGGAGTCTCACTGAAAAATAGTAAGTATATCCAAGAGGTGTAGCTCCATGTTGCCTTTTACAAAGAGCCACGTTTAATGGTAAAGTGGGATAATGCAGTCAAAACCTTTTCTCGCTTAGTGTGATAAAAGATTAGTAAATTTTTTTTTTTTTTTTTGCCTTTCCCCTCTACATGTATCATTAAGCAGAGGGTTAAAAATTTGGAATTATACTTTAAATTTTCGTTAACTTATTCATTCATTGAATAAATACACATTAAGCACCAAGTAATGCCAGGTACTGTGCTATATACTAGAAATAACATGGTGAACAAGATGAACATGGTCATGGCCATTATGGAATTACTTACTTATGATTATGTTAACTAAACTAAGATAGGGTTTCTCAATCTATTGGCAGTTTGGGTCACATTATTTGTAGGGATCTGTACTGTGCATTGTAGGATATTTAATAGCATCCCTGGCCTCCATCCATTAGAAGCCAGTAGCACTCCCCACTCTAGATATGGGGACAGAATCACCCCTGGTTGTGAACTACTGAAGTAATGTTTACTATAGAAATTCTGAAATTGTTCCACTTACCATGTAAAATGTACCTTCTGTATTCAGAAATTATACTTTAGTTATATGATCTATTCAAGAACATTACCCCTATACAATTCACAACTATTTGTGCTTGCTTTTGTGTTTGTCTCTTCTGCTAATTGGGGCAGCTTCATTTATTCTTTTATCCCCAGCTCCTCAATGAGGCCTGGCACATAGATGGTCTTAATAAAGATGAGTTGAATGAAGATAGGTGGTGAAGGCTTCGAAGGGCTATAGTTTAAGCCCAGCTTTGACAGTAGTCCCTTCTGTGTAATTACCACTCTACAATAGCTTTTCTAGTGAAAGGGAAGCTGCGGAGCATTCACACTTTTACTTTTTGGCTATCTGAATTTATTTCCAAGTTGCTTGAGCTTATGATTTTTCTTTCAGAGTTTGAACTGATGCATGTAGATGAGTTCATTGATGAATTACTGCACAGTGAGAGAGTCTGTGATATCATTCTGCCCCGGCTACAGGTAAGTGTCTCATATGAGAGTCACCCCCTCCCCCCAAAAAAACAGGTAGACACACACACAGCCACTAAAACCAATGCATTTCTGTGTCTTAATAAGTAGTCTTCATGTTTATGAAAATGGTAGCAGATTGGAGGTGAGAGGAAAGCAGATAATTTGAAGGGTAGGGCTTTAAAAGTGGTTAACCACAGGAAGACTTTCTTTAAAATGTTATGTCAAGAAGACTGTAGCTAGGGTAGATTTTTAACTTTGTAAGAACCTTTTTTCAAATTGGCCTTCATATAAAAATTCAGGATATAAAACAGATAAAAGGAGAGTCAGGAATAGCAGACACTGACCTTAACTCCGAAAATAGCACTATAATCATCCTGCCTCCCTTTCCCAGAGATAAATGATTGTCCATGAAATACCTTTCAGAACGGCTTTTATAGAGTATGATTTTAAAAACTATTGTTGAAAATACAAAGGGAAAGGAGATATAGTAGGTAGCTAAAGAGAAAAGGAATGTGGAGATTTCTAAAAAGAGTGGAGAGAGGACTGAACAGGGAATTAAGTAGACTTAAGTTTCTGGGTTGTTATAGCTGACTTGCTGTGGGACCTGGTCTTATTTTCCCATCTATAAAATGGAAGAATTAGATTACCTCAGTGGTCAGCCCCACGGGACTGTTTTAAAGTATACAGTTTGGTAAGTTTTGACATATGTGTATAGACCCTTGAAACTATCATCACAATTAAGAATAGTGAACATATCCGTCACCTCCCAAAAGTTTCCTTTTTCTGTGTAATCCCTCCCCCCTCCACCTCTTCCCCTCACCCCTAAGCAACCAGTGATATGTATGCTATCTTGTCACAATAGATTAGTTTGCATTTTGGAATTAATACAGTACACTCTCATTTTTTGTCTGTCTTCAGCTTATTTTGAAATTCATCTATGTTGTTGCATGTATCAATAGTTTATTTTCTTTTATTGCTGAGTGAGTGGTATATCTCTCCTGTTCATACTGGCTACTGTAGGCCATGCAGTGAAGAGAACGAGATTTTAAATCTGCAAACCGGCTTTCAGGGTCCAGTTCTCACACTAACTCATTAGGGGTAACAGTTATTATTATTAGTCTGCTATTTATTTTTAGAAATAGTGCAAGAAATGTAATACTTAGAATTGGAATCAGGTTATAGCTAAGGGTTCCGAAGCCCAGTCAGCTCTAAGCAAGCCTACTGATATAAATGAGGTGGTCTGTATGGAGTCTAGACGACTACAAAACAAGCCTCACAGAGGAGAGAGGACTTGAATCTGATGGATGTATGTCATGTCAGCAAGAGGTGTGTTCTAGTGTGGGTCTCTTACATGTCTTGGATGAAGTAACCCTTAAGAAGTGACCCTCTTGTTCTGATTGTTCTTATTAAGCAACCCATAGGTTATCAGTTTAGCTTCTGATGTGCCCTGACATTGGCAAGGAGCTGTGGTGGAATGAATTCTAATTTCATCAAATATAGACTGAATTATATATTTACCCTAGTCATTTCCAAGTCTGGTCAGCATTAGGGATTCTGGATACCCTCCTCTCTGATGTAATTCTAGATCCCAAACTGTGGTGATCCTGTGAGTGGGGAGCATTTTTCTGAGGGATTGACTTCACTGAGTGGCATCTTTGTCTCATTTCTACCAACTTTTATAGAATTTTTTTAGGGATGGATGAGAGCTAAGTAGCATACAAATGTTACTGTTTATTCTAGGGCTATCCAACATTCTTTATGTGCTTAGCACATGGAAATGGTAAAAGATCTTATGACCTAGCCACTCTGTTTTGCAGTTTTGAACTCGCCTTTGCCTCTCAGGGTCCTTAGTCACTCAATAAACACTGCTAAGCCACATCTCAAAAGAAATTGGAACCAAATGAATTGTTTAATTCCTGTGCATTGTTAAAAATGCATGACTCTAGATATTCTCTGAATCTTAGGAATAATAAAGAATTGGCGCTACTCTAAAGCAGGACCCAAGGCACTCTTCAGCCCCCAAACTGCACTAAGCCTCAGTGGATCTCTTGCGATAGATTCTGATTTGAGCGTCTCCTGGCAGAACTACCAGCCAGCAGAGTCTCAGCCATGAATTTATGACCCTTGTATATTAAGTCCACATTTTTTTTATTCAAGGCTTTACTTATCCTGATTGATATCCCAGTGACCTTAAGAGTGTAAAATTACAGGGAATAGAGCCAACAGAAAATGGAGATGTCCCTTCAGCTTTGTGTCTGTTTACCGGGGAATTAAAAAAACTGTATAGATTTCAGGTATGTTAAACTCCTTAGGAGAATCTTAAACTATCTAGGATGTCTTTGAAATGAACCTCAGAAGCCCAGTGTTGGGGCTTCTGGACAAAGAGGAGATAGCAAGGCCCCTAACACTCATTGTGTTCTCTGTAGAAACGCTATGTGCTAGAGGAAGCTGAGCAATTGGAGCCTCGGGTTAGTGCTCTAGAAGAGGACATGGATGATGTCGAGTCCAGTGAAGAGGAGGAAGAAGAGGATGAGAAGGTCAGGTACCTGGGAGATTAAGGGTGAAAGAGGATTAGTTAGGGAATGGTGCTTTTTTGTTTTGTCAATTTTTAACTTTCTTTAACCAAAAAATGCAGTATTTAGTCAATAAAAATATGGGCTTTAGAGTTAAATAGACCTTGGTTCGAATCAGCTCTGCTATATATAGTGGTATAATCTTGTGCAAATTACGTAATCTGTTTTCTCCTCCATCAAGGATAATGATACCTTTCACTTAGGGCTGTTAATGAATATTAAATGAGATGATACGCATAACGCCCTTAGCACAAGATTGGGACATTATAATTGCCTAATAAGTGGTAGCTATTAAAATAAATACTTGATAAAAATAATACTGTTTATAATTGAACCACCTTAAGAACTAAGCCTCATTTAGAAAAAAATAAGTGCCACCCTGGCCTGTTTAGCTCAGTGGCCAGAGCATTGGAATGTGGACTGAAAGGTCCCGGGTTCAATGCTGGCTTGATCCCTGGCCCCGGTTGGTGTGGGTGCAGGAGACAACCAATCAATGTCTCTCACATCAATGTTTCTCTCCCCCCCACCCTGAAAAAGCAATGCAAAAATATCCTCAAGTGAGGATAAAAAAGAAAAAAGAAGTGCCTACTGCATGGTCATGTTCTTTCATGTTAGTTATAATGCTGAGAAGTTGAAAACAACCAAGCTCTCAGGGAGCAGTCAAACTAATATATCAACTCAAAAGCCTGTTAGGCAGCTATTAAAACTGTTAGGAAAAGTATAATGTGGAAATGCTTACAGTAAATTAAAAAAGAAGGACCTAAAACATTTAAGATTAAAATTCAAGCAACAATATAGTATGGAAAAGGGTTAGTGGGAAATACAAGAAATGCTGGCTTATGGAGTCTGAGGCATTACAAATGGAAGTATAGGTCTGAGCCATCAGGCTGTCTTAAAGTTGAGTGGAGAAGGAACACATTCATTCATGAATTCAGCCATGCAAAGCTGAGGTGAACCAAAAGTAGGCTTTTAAAAAAATACATGTCTTTATTGATTTGAGAGAGGGGAAGGGTAAGGGGGAGAAACATCAATGATGAGAATCATTGATTGGCTGCCTCCTGCACGCCCCCTACTGGGGATTGAACCATGAACTCCAGGATCTTAGGCTGATGCTTAATCGCTGAGCCACACTGGCTAGGCTAGTCATCTCTTACTAGCTTCTGCCCCCAACTTGGAATTAGCCATTTTCCAACGAGTCCTTGGTTCCATTTACTGAGATATGGTCTTTACATACCACAACATGGGTACTGTAAGTGCTTATTGCTAATGGGTTTGGTTAGTGTTATAGGCCTTTACAGTTAGCTGAGCTAGGGGGAAATTTTTTTTTTTTTAAGATTAAAGTACACCATGAGTTTGTACTTAACCTTAATGATTTTACATCTATCTATCTTCTTTTGCTTTGGAAATCCAACTTCTTAGGAGATAAACATGACTAATTCTCTCTCACTACTCTCGATAAGTCCCAGAATAATGGTATCAACACTAGAATAATGGATTAGAAAGTTTTTTTATTTGGAATTTTTTTCTCCTCAGGGTTATCCCTCCATGTTTTCAAACTAATGTTTGTAAAATCACTTGAAGGTAGCCCTGGCCAGCGTTGCTCAATGGTTAGAGTGTTGGCCTGTGCACCAGAGGGTGGCGGGTTTGATTTCTGGTTAAGGGCATGTACCTGGGTTGCAGTTCCAATCCCTGCCCCCACTTGGGGTGCGTGTGGGAGGCAGCCAATTGATGAGTCTCTGTCACATCGATGTTTCTCTCCATCCCTCCCCTGCCTTCCACTCTGAGTATCAATGGAAAAAATATCCTCACTCTGGTGAGGATTAAAAAATAAAAATAAGTAAAATCACTTGAAGGTAGAATTTGGGACAGGATGGAGAAGGGAGTGTAGCAGTGTTTCTAAATGGCTCTCTATAAGCCTGTGCTTATCACTGATCCACCTATCTCATTTTCAGTTGGAGAGAGTACCATCACCTGATCACCGCCGGAGAAGCTACCGAGACTTGGACAAGCCCCGTCGCTCTCCCACACTGCGCTACAGGAGAAGTAGGAGCCGGTCTCCCAGAAGGTAAGGCCCTAGTCATTTGCCTCTTCCAGGGAGACTTTAAACACTGTAGTGTCAAAGTTTGGACTTCAGTGAAGGAAAGATGCCAGTCTATGGAGAATGTTTGCTTGCCCAATGTGTTAGTTGCTAGAAAATAACCACCCACAAAACCTCAATGGCAGACAATAACCATTTATTTAAGTTCACAGGTCTGCAGTCAGTGATATAACCTGGGCTTGGATAGGCAGTTTTTTGAGTATGTTATGGTCACTCACCTGATTTGTAGTCTGTTGGCCAGTACAAGATGGCCTTAGCTAGGATGACTGGGGCAATTCATCTCTTCTCTATGTGTGTCTCATTCTAGGCTAGGTTAGGCACGTTCTCATGGTAATTGCAGAATTCAAGAGCAAACAAGCCAAATCATGCAAGTTTCTTTCCACTACATGCTTGTATCACATCTGTAAATATCCCATTGGCCAAAGCAAGTCACTTGGATTGGAAGGGTGCTAAAAAAGTTACATGACAAAAGAGATGGATAACAGAGAAGGGTTCAATACTGGGACAAATTTTTGCAGTCTACAACATTCAAGGCACCTACCTACTAAGGCTTTTCTTCATCTGTTTTCTTTCCACATAGGCGGAGTCGGTCTCCCAAAAGGAGGAGGTAGGCCTTCAGGGATTTTTGTAATGAAGGAGAGGAATTGGGGAGAGGTACTATTTTTGTGATTATATTGTCAGGCAGATATGGGAGTCTGACCAGTTATTTCCATAGCCCCTCCCCTCGTCGAGAGAGGCATCGGAGCAAGAGTCCAAGACGTCACCGCAGCAGGTCCCGAGATAGACGGCACAGATCCCGCTCCAAGTCCCCAGGTATAACATTTGGGCCTTTTGCTATTGGTTGTTTTAACAAAGAAATGTAATAGGAACAGTTAACCTCCTGCAGTACTGGAGTGCTTGTGTTACTGCTTAGAAGAAAAGTAAATGGACTTAGAATTTGAAAATTAAGAGTTCACATCTTGACTCTCACTTATAAGCTTTGCTGATAAGTGAGCCACTTCAGTTTTTTCACCTGAAATTTTAGGACTGAGACCTAATAGAGTAGTGGTAAATACCCAATGTGATATTTGTATAATTAGCCATAAAGTCCTGAATTCGTATGAAGTGGGTTCAGTTCTTTCCCCACCATACACACCAATTCAGAAAGGTGCTACCAAACAGAGCTCCCTGGCATAGGCCAAAAAAGTATTAAGCCAATAGAAGGGATTAGGGGAGGTGAAAATGACAGTGTAGTAGTAAGAGGGTAGAATCTCATTTATTCATTGGCCTTTTCTTCCCCAGGTCATCACCGTAGTCACAGACACAGGAGCCACTCAAAATCTCCTGAAAGGTATGGATTGACTTCTATTTTGACTTGAGAATTTCACTATTCAGAAATCAAAGCCCCAGTCACAACTAAATTTGACCTGAAATTTTGTTTTGATGGGGATATTTAGGAATTCTCCTTCATTACAGAACAAAATTGGCCAGTTGCCCTGAGAATTACTAGAACTATATGTTTGTTGTTTTGTTTTTCCTTGTAGGACTGCAGCTTTGGATAGTGGTAAGGGCATTTAACCCCAACTTTTAACACTTTAATAGTGACATTGGACAAGTCACTTTCATTTGATAAGCTTTCATTAGAAATGTCTATATGCTATACACTGTTAGGTTCATTCTACCTCTCAGAGGTCATTTCCTCAATGGTAAATTTTGAATAGTAATGCTAGGTATACTAATTGTGTTGCTCTGAGACATAAAAACACCAGGCCACTTAATGAATACTGGGTATCATCTCTGTCCCCATCAGTGTCACCATACCTTGGTTTTCCTCAAAACCTTGTCCAGCTTCTTGAACAGCTGTTAAGTTTAATACTTTATATGTGTTGCCATTTCAGATCTAAGAAAAGCCACAAGAAGAGCCGGAGAGGGAATGAATAATGGACTCAGTTTGGATTTAATCCAAATGGCCTCCTGCAGATATGAAGTCCTCTCTCTATGTGGAAATATTAAGACGTACTCCCTAGGCAGCTATGGGAATATTTTAGGTTTTTTGGGGTTTTTTTTTTTAAACCTAAAAGTTTTTTTTTTTTTTTTTTTTAAATGAAAGAGGTGCTGAGTTTTGTATCTCTTTTTGAATCCTAATCCATGTTTGAGATAAATGCTCCCCAAGGGCTGCTTTTGACCCCTTGTACAACCAACATTGAGGATTTGAGGGTTGGAGGGTATGACAAGAAGAGGATATGGCCACCTGGTGATCCTTTTGTTATTAAATTTAACACCCCCGTTTTCCATCTTTCTGTGGTTTACTTTTTGGTTTGCTCCCTGATTGAAACTTGAGAATCCTATGATTTGTGCTACTGCTGTTACATTCAAAGATCAAGTTGGTGCCAACTTTTTTCCCCAGCATGAAAGCTGAGTAGCAGCAGCTTTGTTTAAAAAAAAAAAAAAAAAAGGCAGTGTAAGGCTTCTAGATGATTTAATCCAGTTGCACTAAACAGTTCGACAAACAGTAAATTTAACATTTTTTATAGCATTCTTATATAGTGTTTCTTCTTCCACACAAGCCTTGAATTCCAGGTCAAGATGCTCAACCTTTATTCTTCAAGAATTGACATTACCCAAGTCTAGTCAGTAGGGCAAGATTGAAAAGTTTGATGGAGAGAAAAGTAATAACACTCAGGGTTTTGATCCAAATTGTTGGACCGCAGTGCCATTCACAAAGCCAGAAAATATAGCAGGAAGAGACCAGGTTTTACAGGGGCAGGTAGTGAGAGTTGTAGTAGTGAAAATGATGCATTCAGTTTAACTTGAGGCAGCCATGGTATATCTAGACAAAGCCCAGAAAGTTGTAAATAGGAACTGGAGTTGAGCATAGTGATCTAGACCTGAATTAACAATAGGTAGTGTGAATGTGTAGAATTAAACAGATTGCCCAGGGAGTGTTTGTATGTGTAGGAAAAGCCAATAACAGAACCCTAGGTAACAGCCAGCACTGGTGAGAGGAGAAGTGCAGTCATGGATTGAAAACTGAAATGAACCATTCAGAAAAGAGAATTAGAAAAGGTCTAAGGGTGCAGAAGCAAAGTTAAGGACTGAAAAATGTAATCAAGAGGGTGTTGGGATCTTTGTTAGAAAAGTTCCATTTACCTGTACTTACCTCTCCTCCTTTAAAAATGGAAAAGTGATTGAATGACTTCCTGCAGCTCTGGTCCCAGCAAGAATTGTGAATACCAACTGCCTCACAGGATGGATCCACTTTCTTGGGAAGCCATATCTGGTCATAGGATTCACATTCTATTGCTTGCTATTGAACTGAAGGATTATTGCGGCAATATTAAAGCATTTGGGCATCATGTTCGTGATTTCAAATTCTTCAGTGATTCTTCTCTTGAAGATACTTCAGCTAATAAGAGTTGTCCATCAGAGCTATTTTCGTTTATCATACAACTATATATAAGACTACCTCTAAAAATTAAATATAAGCACCTCTATTTACATCTGTTATAGAGTCCTAGCAGTTATTTCTTTCCAGTGAAATAGGCAGAAAGAAATGTCTTTTGGCTAAACAACCTATGGACCAACCAAGTCATCTAGTGTATTGCTAAAATATTTAAAGTACACTTTAAAAATTTTTTACTGTTTTTCTCAAAAAACCCCAACAATTTTTAATAAGAGAAATAAACTTCCTCAAACATAAACTATAAACTTCAAACATACTTATTAGGCATATGGTGAAATCTGGACCAAATTGAAGCAGCATAGCCAACCCATAGCAGGAAGCAGTTTGTCCCTAACTTTCTTGTTAGTACAAAGAAATAACAGTGAGTGAGACATGATGAACATCTCTCTGGAGATTGTTTTGATAAATTACAGGTTTGCAGAGGAGATGAAATCTAAGGATAAATCTTGCTTAAGTGCCATTTCTGTCATCTATGTGCTAGCTAGTCTAGTAAATGAGGCCTCAGAGCTCTAGCTTTATAACTTTTTTTTTTTTACTTTGGCCTATAAAACAAATTTTACGTGTGTGTGTGTGTGTGTTCTGTATTGAAATATTTTTTGGGGAAAAAATCTTTTTTCTTACGCAAAATGCATTCTGATGTTTCCTTTATAATACCAGTTTTTAATGTTGGGTGCAAACCACTAAATTCACTTCACTTCCCAAAATTTGAATTATACTGCCTTAAAAGCCTTGCCATAAGGCACAATGACTTCTTAATAATAAAAAAAATGGAGAAATGTGTTCTCAGAGGCAGAGGCAATAATGGATTTGGTGAGAGGCTTCTAATATAACAACCCAACTTAAACTTAGCCCCTTTCTGTTATTTTCAGCAGACCTAAGTTTAACTAAACAATCAGAAAAGAATGATCACAGGTGCTGGCCACTCCCCCAAAAGGTTAAAGTAACAAGTTCTCCACAGTGATAGATCTGTTTTTAAAAGGCAAAAGTAAACAAGTTCAAAAAAGAGATTAGAAGATGATAGATGGAAAATTAACTTGGAAGAGTGTAAAATGAAGATATGAAAAACTAGAAAAATGAAACCTTAGAAAGAAAGATAGACAAACAGAAGGCACTGAGAAAATAGGCTGGAGGGGAAAAAATGGAAAATAATAAAAGCTATAGAGATGATAAAACAAAATCCTGCATGTGACATTCCTGATAAGAACTGAGCAAATGAAAGTTTTAAAAGTTCAAATAGAAAATTTTCCTGAAATAATAAAAAGGAATCAAGAAATATCCTAATTTAAGAGAATATCAAATTATGTAAAATGAGGGGGGGGAAATTAAGGTCTCAGATCTTACAGCATACTTCATGAGGCAGTTACTGTGCCAGGAATTTTATATCAACCCAAGTTTTCTTTCAAATAGAAAGGGAGTAGACATTTTCAAGTATGCCAAGAACTTAAATCACTTGGGAAAGAACTGCATGATCATGAAGTTAACAAGAAGTGACTCAAATTAAGGACTTAGGGGAAAAGAAGCAGTAAAAGGAGTGGTGGTAGTAAACATTTTAGAAACTTTTAATAAAAATGGGAAATGATTATAAGATTCAAATTAAGTATTTGAATGTTGCCTATATAGGAATAATATAACCAGGAAGTAGAGGGACTCTAAAGTATGCTAGTTTCATTTTTCATAAGAGTCATATACTGTCTCTAATTAAAATATACATGACACTAGAAAAAATGATTCCAGCCTCATGTTTTCTATAATTGTCCCCAATTTTCAAGGGAAACTCAGAACTAGATTAGATTCTCATGTAGAAAATTTTGAAGTTGAGCATTTCTTTACTTTCACATTTTTTCCGTCTTGTTAATAAAACCAAGTAAAATTAATTTGCTGTATTTACTAAATACAGCATATGAGCCTTTTGTAGGACTGTATGTTTACATGTCGTTTTTTTTTAATATATCTTTATTGATTTCAGAGAGAGGAAAGGAGAGGGAGACAGAAACATCAATGATGAGAGAGTCATTGATCGGCTACAGCCCGCAACCCGGGCATGTGCCCTGACCGGGAATCGAACCCCGGTCACCTGGATCCTAGGTTGATGCTTAACCGCTGAGCCACGCCTGGCCGGGCTACATGTCTGTGTTTAAGAGATGGCTGGAATGAAGTTCACCAGATAATACTATTTATTTCTGGTTGATGGGCTTTTGAGTGCTTTACTTAATGCTCACTTTTTTTTTTTTTTTAATAAACATTTAAATTCTCCTTTACAAGGAAAAAGTGAGTTATTTGGAGAAAGCTTTTTTTTTTAATAAGCTTTCCAACACATTTTATATAGTTTGTCAGAACTGAAAATTGGTAACCACTTTTCTGGATGGTAATCTGGCAGTATGTCAGAGGAACCTTAGACTTTTTTTCTTTTTACCTAATAATTCCATTTATAGGAATTCACCATAACACAGAAACATACACAAAAATATTTATCCAGAAATGGAACTAGACCACTTACACCATGTACATAAGTAAAAAATGGATTAAAGACTGAAATTGAAATACAAGACCTGAAACCATAAAACTCCTAGAAGAAAACATAGGCAATAAACTTTGGACATTGGTCTTAGCAATATTTTTTTGGATCTGTCTCCTAGGGCAAAGACAACAAAAGCAAAAATGGACAGAACTACACCAAACTAAAAAGGTTTTCACAGAAGAAACGATCAACAAAAAGGCAATCTACTGAATTAGAGAAATTATTTGCAAATAATATATCCAATAAGGGTTTAATATCCAAAATATATAAAGAACTCATATAGTTTGGAATCAAAGAAACAATCAGATTAAAAATGGACAGAAGACATACAACTGGTTGACAGACACATGAAAAGATGCTCAGCATCACTGACTGGGGAAATGCAAATCAAAACCACAATGAGAGATCACCACATACCAGTCAGAATGGTTACTATCAATAAAATCAACAAACAAGTGTTGGAAAGATGTGGAGAAAAGGGAACCCTTGTGCACTGTGTTGGGACTGTAAATTGGTGCACCCATTATGGCATACAGTATGAAGTTTCCTAAAAAAATTAAAAATAGAGCCACTGTATGACCCAGCAATTCTACTTCACTTCTGGGTATTATCTGAAGAAATCCAAAACACTAAGATATGTGGAACCCTATGTTCACTGCAGTAGCCAGATATGGAAGCAACCTAGGTGTCCACTGATAGATGAATGGATAAAGAAGATGTAGTACCTATATACAATGGAATTTTTAATTCAGTCATAAAAAAGAATGAAATTTTGCCTTTTGGGATAACATGGACGGACCTAGAAGATATTATGCAAAGTGAAATAAGAAGAGAATGGCGAATATCATAGAATTTCACTTAAATGTGGAATCTAAAAAAATAAACCATAAACTCAACAAAAACAAACTCATAGATACAAAGAACTGAGGGTTGCCAGATAGGAAGGGAGTGTTGGAGGGGGTGGGTGAAAAAAGTGAAAGGGATTAAGAAGTACAAGTTGCCAATTATAAACATAAGTCACGGGGCTGTAAAGTACAGCATAGGGAATATAGTCAATAATGTAATAACTATATATGGTGCCAGATGGGTACTAGACTTATCATGGTGATCACTTGGTAAGGTATATAAATGTTTAATCACTATGTTTTATACCTCAAACTAATATTGTACTTCAACTATAATTGAAAAGTAAATTTTCAATTATCCCATCATAATTTTACATGTATTTTTAATATATGAGAAAAAAGAAATAGCAAAAATGTCCATCTCAGGAACTGAACAAATAAATCAGAGTACATCATTAATATTCATATTTTTGAATAATATTTAATGGCAAGGTAAAACAATGTCTCCATGTCATTAATTATACAAAAAATATTCAAAACTATGATCTTAAGAGTGTGTGTGTGTTCTCTGCACAAGGTTGAATAATTTGCCCTTTTCAATTGCTCTACAATAAATTTAAATAAAACCTTTTTAAAAGTTTGCAACTTCTATGAAGTTTGCAAACTTACAAACTGAGCTACTACTGTATAAATTATAAACTAGGAACAGTTTTGCCAGTTATTGAACACTGGTAAAGTGTTCAATTGCTGAAGGAGGGACAAGTGAGATGCTGATAATTACTCTACAGTATATAACTGTCGTATAAAGAAAACCTAGGTTACTGGAGTTTATTGCCTGTAAATACTTTTTGCCAGGTCATATAGTACTTTCCTTTAGGAAGGAAGGCTGAGCTTGGAGCACTCTCTTGTTGCATATTGTTTTTTTAATGAAAATTTCAAATATATACGAATGTAGAACAAGCTGAACACCCTGTACACCTCGTAATTTGTTCTCTAAGACTTGAAAAGGAGATGAAATACTTAAACACTAACTTTAAAAGAAAATCTTGAATGCTCCAAGTCACATTTTAACACAAAAGCATTACCTTGGGCCAGGTATCTCATTAACAAATGAGTTAATTCCACCACTTAGGATTCTGAGGGATGCTGAAGCTTTAATATGAAAAAGTAACAGTATATACACCTGATCTTAACATTTAATAAATACCTTTTCAGGGCTGTAAATATGTCAGGAAAGCCCTCAACCTCCTGCAATAGATTTCAAGCATCTTCCATGTTGGAAAATATGGCAAAAGCCCAGGTAGTCTCCTATTTTAAGTAATGCATATCTGAGGAAGCAGAACAAAGATAACACACTCACTGTCCATAAAATACATTTCTTTTTACTTATTCTGCACATTTCCAACGAAATCTATACCATCATTTAGCCTAAAATCCTGGCAATCTCTTTGAGGGATATAGAGAAAATGACTTTAACCTCAATGTATTAGTACCAAAACCAGCTAAGTCTACCACCAATGACACAAGTTT